GGCTCCTTAAATGGACACTTTTTTTGAAAAGAGGCACTATTTTTAGAGCAGTTTTGTGTTCACAGCAAAATTCAGCTGAAAGTACAGAGTGTTCCTCTATTTCCCCTGCCCCACACAGGCACAGCCTTCTTAAGTATCGAAGTCTGCACCAGAGTGGTACAGTTGTAACAATCAGCGAACCTATGATGACACACTGTGATCACCCAATGTCCTGGGTTACTGAAGGGTTCACTTTTAATGTCCTACATTCTATGCATTGGGACATATCCACTGTTACAATGACTTACACAGTAGTTTCACTGCCCTAAATAAAATCCTCTGTGTTCCCTATTCATCCTTCTGGCAACCACTGATTTTTTTTTTCCTCCACAGTTTTGCCTTTTTCATAATGTTGTGTATTTGGAATCATACAATGTGTAGCCTTTTCAAGTTGGCTTCCTTCACTTAGTCATATGCATTTAAGTTACCTCCATGTCTTTTCATGGCTTGAAAACTCATTTCTTTTTAGGGCTGAATATTCCATTGTTTGGATGGACCACAATTTATCCATTCGCTTAAGGAAAGACATCTATCTTGGCTGCTTCCAAGTTTGGGCAATGATGAATAAAGCTGTTACAAACATTCATGTGCAGGTTTTTGTGTGGACATCAGTTTTCAACTAATTAGGTAAATAGCAAGGAGTTGATTTCTCTATCATTTGGTAAGAGTATGTTTAGTTTTGCCAGAAGCCATCAAGCTGTCTTCCAGAGTGGCTGTACCCTTTTGCTTTCCCACCAGCAATGATCAAGGGCTCCCTGTTGCTGGGTGTTCTCCGTGTTGTGGATTTTGGCCTTTCTGAGAGGTATGGAACGGTATGCCTTTAATTTGCAAGTCCATAATGACATACGATGTGGAGCATCTTTTCATATGCTTATTTGTCATCTGTGTACCTTCCTTGGTGCGGTGTCTGTCCAGGTCTTTTTCCTATTTTTAAAATCAGGTTGTTTATTTTCTTACTGCTAAGTTTTTAGAGTTCTTCATACATTCTGGATAACAGTTCTTCATCACATATGTCTTTTGCAAATGTTTTCTCCCTGTCTGTGGTTTGTCTTCTCATTCTCTGGACAGTGTCTTTTGCAAAGCAGAAAGTTTTATTTTTAGTTAAGTCCAGCTGATCAATTATCTCTTTGATAAAGTGAGACTTTTTGTATTTAAAAAGCCGTATCCAAGGTCATCCAGATTTTGTCCTGTTGTCTACTAGGAGTTGTACAGTTTTGCATTTTACATTTAGGTCTATTACCTATTTTGCATTAATGTTTTGTACAGGATCTGTGAGTAGATTCATATTTTTGCATGTGGATGGCCATTACTTCCAGCACCGTTCATTGAGAAGACTATCTTTTCTCTATTATATTGCCTCTGCCTCCTTGTCAAAGATCGGTTGACTGTGTTTATGTGGGTAACAGACGCTTTTTGAAACAGAGACTTATGAGTCTTCTACGTATAATCGAATATGTTAATCATTTCTCCATAAAAACTCTCGGTCTTTTTAAGTACGCCCTACAACCCAAGGCCGTGATGTCAGTTTCCTCCATCTTCTTCTCCAACACTTTTGCTTGTTGGCTTCCTGTGTTACTCAGCTGGGGCTGCCATGAGAAAGTACCAGACTGAGTAGCTTAAACAGCAGAAACTTATTTTCTCACAGTTCCGGAGACTGTGAACCCGGGGTCAGGGTGCAGTGTAGTCGGGTGCTGGTGAGAGCTCTCCCCCTGACTGAGCCGACAGCGGCCTTCCCGCTGTGTCATCACATGACACACAGAGGGCGCTCTCTCCTCCAGCTTCGTGTAAGGCGCGGGCCTTCCTGATTAGGGTCCCTCTCTGAGACTTCATTTAACCGTTAATTACCTCCTAAAAATCCTATTCCAGATACAGTCATAGTGGGGGTCAGGGTTTCAACATAGGAATTTTGGAGGAACCAATTCAGTCTATACCCTCCTTCCATTTTTATGCAAAATGCAATTTAAACAGAAGTTGCTTTTATTAATAATATGAACATGTAGATGGACAGCTTTTGCAATGATTTGCTGCATTAGTCGAGTAATTCAATCTTTCTTTCCAAACTGAGCAGATATGTGCAGGTGCACCAGCAGTGTCTCCCCCAGATGTCTGAAGAGCCTCCCAGAATGAAGGGATCTGGGTCGGGGTCCCCAGTCAGTGGCTGGATGTGGGCTGGGCAGTGCCTGCAGGAAGGAGACAAGCCGCCTCTAGAATTAGACGGCAGTGGGAGTCCTCGGATAAGTGGCTCCCGAGTTTTGCTGGATGTTAAAGCTTCCTTGGGAGCTTTGACGAGTCCCAGTGGCCACATCGTAGCCTGTGACAGACACACCCAAGGTGACCCCCTGTCAGTACACCCTCCCCATGACTGGGGGTGGAGCCTATGATTTGCTTCCAACAATAGGAGTAGAGAAGGTGGCAGACGTCACTGCCTTAATGAGGTTACACCGTGTGGCAAAGAGTGTCCCCCCTGCAATCACATATCACAAACTTACAGAAGACTCCTGGCCAGCTCTTGTCGCTCCTGCTGGCCCTGAAAAGGGACGCAGCCATGCTGTGAATGTGCATCCAGCTGACAGCTAGTAAAGCCAGAGCCACTAGTCCTGCAACCCCAAGGAAGTGAATTCTGCCAGCTGTGAGTGCAGCTTGGCCAACACTTTGGGGGCAGCTGTGGGAGACCCTTGAGCAGGGGGCCCAGCCAGGGTGCATCCCAACTCCTAACACTGAGAAGATGAATGTGTTGCTTTAAGTCAGTCAGTTTGGTAATTTGTTACTAAGCAAAAGAAAACTTATGTTCACCCCACACCAGTGATATCAGAATTCTCCCTTGGGATCCAGAGGCCAGCAAGGCCCTGACCTGGCCCCCAGCCTGCCCATGGTCCAAAGTCCACCCTGTGGGCCTGGGACACATGCTCTTGCAGAGGAGAAGGGGGAGGGGGAGGACCAGTGGAGACGAGGCTGACAGATCGGAAGGTGCCAGGACAGGCGCTGCCCAGGTGGAGTCAGGGTCCCGCAAACACCGCTGAGACCTGGGAGGAAGGAGACCGAAGCCTCACCACGTGCCCTTCGAGCACCGGCGCCTTCACACTACAGCAGAAGTTACCATCTCACCCTCCTGGCCCTTCTCTGCTCCTGAGGCTTAGAGGACATTCCAGAGATGTTTGCGGGGTGGACACATTCCAGCTCCTCCACTGGTTTGGTGACCTCCATCCTCAGGATAGCCATCAAAGCATCACCCACCCGCAGTGTTCCCGGGCACCGCATCTGCATCCCCTGGACAGGTTCAGAGCCGGCCTGGACCGGCGCCCGCGAGCCACAGGCTCTGCCAATGCATCCGGGAATCCGACCTAAGCACGGCCAGCCGGGCCCGAGAAACCACCCAACCCACAAAGCCCCCGTGGGCTGGGACCTGCAGGCAGCGGACCCAGCTGGGGTCAAGCCCTGACAAGAAGGAGAAGTGTGTTTAGACCATCAAGTGACTCACCAGATAGAGCCTTCTTGAGAACTGTTATAACAATCAAGGCGAGTGAGGGCCATTGCGTATGCTGGCGGAGTCCAAGTACTTGGCTCTTCAGCGGACATTTACGTCTCTGCTCTTGTATCACAACGTCCAGTCCTCAGCGTCAGTCCCCGCAGCTGCGCGGAGAGCAGCGACAGATGCGACCGCATTTTTATTGGCTTCCCCCTCTCATCCCTCCTCACGGGCAGTAAAGAAGGACATGAACACTTTAATATCCTTCTTGCGTAAATTCACTACCGAGAGCTCCGCAGAGAGACCTGCCTGTTGACGCAAAGGAAGCCGCTGCTTCCGCAGGGGGCAGCGCCCGCGGGCCCAGTGGGCGGGCGTCCCTGTCGCCCGGGAGGAAGATGAGCTCTGAAAAATCGCCTGTCTGTCGGTTTTCTACTTTTTTACTGACTTGCCCTATGAAGTTAGAGTTGTGCTTCCAAAAGGAGCAGAAAGCCGTGAAGACAAGAACAAATAATGATTCTCTGACCAACTGAGGACTCCAGGGAAGCCATACAAATGAGGCAGGTTCATGGGTTTACTGTAAAGTCACTCCCAGAGCCCCTGGTTTCTGTCTCTGAGCCCTCCTGGGGGACAGTTGGGGTCACACACGAGGGGGGCCTCCAGCACCATCTTCTGATTTCCCTTAGAGGCGCACGTTCTATAGGGACATTACATGTTGAATCGTAATAAATCTCAAGTAAAAGCAAGAATCTTGGCTCTCCATTTCATATCATCTGCACCTAAGTGTAATCTTCAGTTGTTTCCATCTTACCATTAGAAGTTTCTAGAATCAAATAGTTCAGCTGCCTGTCTTTCCCTGTCTGTTCTGATGCGCTGGTCTTCGTTGGCCTCTTTCCCATCCAGCTCCCAACTCTCCTCCGGTCACGGTTTCTGCCTCCAGCTGCCCCTGGTCAGAGGTTTGACCTCA